GGCCAGTGGGGGAGGCACAAAAAGACACCTGAGGTCATGAGGTGGGCGATAGCAAGGACTTTGGAGCTGAGGTGGCTGGGGGCAGGGAGTTACAGCTGAGCAGTGGTAGGGAGGCCCAGACATTCAGATCTGAGAACTATATCAATCTTACAGCATAAAACCATTCTCCTCCTTCTGCAGCCTGACCCAGATAAAGGCAGTGAGTGTTGGAGTGTTGGGGTGCACCACAAACCAACCCCATGGTTAGCAACTGCCCCTATTGCTAAGGGATTATAAAACACATATGAAAATAGTCAGAGTATAAAAAAAAAAAAAAAAAAAAAGACCTGTTGGAGTCTGAGGGCTGACTGGATATTTTGCAGAGATGGGTACAGAGGCAGGCCAGCTCTGCTGAGAAGGCATTTAGATCCTAAGTCAGGTTTAGACCCCAAATTACATCTGACAGTCACTTGGCCTTGAGAGCTCTTGCAGCTTACCAAGAGCCTTTTTGTCCAGGGAGCACAGTACCTGAGCAGAATCTAAAAGCAGTGAGTCATAGCAATATTTTCCTCAGTCTGTTTCAATCTCTGGGTGATCCTTAAAAATTTCTTAGTGGACCTGCTTTGGAAATTTCACATGCGCATAAATTACCATGTAGCATCTGCAAATCTAGTTCCTGTTTGTGCATCCCTTAAAAATGACTGATCAGACTCAGAGGTCTACACACCTCAGGCAGAAACACATGGATTCAAATGCAGTGGGACCCTCAGGAAAGATACCCATTAAGCTCTCTGTTATTGTCTTAGTCTTTATATTTTGGACAAAACCAAAGTACAATAATTGTTACTTTTAATTAAACCTTGAAAGGATGCCATATAACGCATAAACTAGAGATACTCCTTGTCTAAGAAGATTTTTTAAATGTAGGTGTTTAATTAGTGCAGCTACCAAGGAAGCATGAGCTCACAGGTCAGTTGGGGATTTAGTAGTTCTGGAATGCTGCCTGCAGTCTGAATCAATTCAAGCTCTGTTATAAAAACCATAATATTGGTGTGGAGTTATGGGACACTTCCACATCTGATAGCCCATCATTTTGTGGTGAAAAGCCTCATAGAAGAAAATACTAATGCTTATAAAATAAAAATTCGTATTTCTTCTTGAATACTTTTTCCTTCCTGTGGGGAGTACCACTAAATCAATAATAAACTGTAAAGATATTATAAACAAAGCAAAACAAAACAAACTAATGAAAAGAGTGTTTTGGGTTTATATGGATATGTTTTTGAAGCTGCAACTTTTGAAATGTAAAATAAAATACTTCAGATTATCTGTGGCATGATCATAATAAATAAATATTAAGTTTCCAGTACATTATCTTCAGTAATGAATCTCATGGCAACATTTCTGCCTTTCATTACTGCTGTCACACTGATGCACTCAATAAGTCAGCTTTCAGCCAAATGTTGCCCACAAATATGTGCAGTTCATTCACACATACAGCGTTGCAGAGGGAGTAAATGAGGGCAAAGTCTGACCTTCTGATTTTAATATCCCATCTAGCTATAAAACATCTACATTTAAATTTGTGTTTTCAAAGTATTTCACACCACTGAGACACTCTTGGCAGAGTAATTTTTCTTATGTGTACAGCATTTGCCCACCCATCAGCACTATCTGACACCCATCTGACTGTTAAAATTGTTGAAAACCAAAAAGAACAAAATAAAAGAAAATACCCAGTCATGAAATCTCGTAATAAAGAACGTGATTTTTTTCTGGGCCAGATGATTCGCTGTAGCAAAAGGTTAGTCTTTAGTTGAAACAGGGCTTTCAACATTGGAATCCTTGCTAGCCACAGAATCATTTCCAGCCAATTACAGAGGATCTTAATCGGTACCACAAAACCTTCCCAGGTTCTTCTGCATAGCCTTGTAGAGCAGCAAGATTACCTTTAGGAGGAGCCTCATCCCCTCCAGTACAGCAAACAAAAACACTCAGTGGTTCCTGCAAAGCTTTAGATATCATGATATTGTTTCATTAACAAATATTTTGAAAAAGATGGAAAACAATAAAAAGCAACCTCATGAGAACTTTTATTCCACAGTTTTTTCTCAAAATAACCACCTGTATCTAAGCCTTCCGTGACAGATGCACATCTAATTTGCTCTTAAAAACTTTCAGTGATGGTGCAGTAGTGGTTAACAAAAATTTTAAAAATGAACAACCAACTCTTTAACTTAAACAGCCTGACAGAAATAAAACAGAACCAGAGCCAGTGGAGATAGAAATCTGCTGAGCAGTAAAAGCAGTTTAGAAGCAAATACTATTTTGAGGACACAGTGAAGAGTAGAAAGTTGATTCTCAATTGAAGGGGTAAGAAATAATTAAATTTACTTTGGGGTGGTCACAAAAGTGGCTCTAACAGAAATCAGGACCAGACTTAACTGAAAACAGGAAAAGGCAGAAAGCTATACAGAAGGTTAGCTTTTGCAAATCTAAGCCAGTCCTTCTAATCTGTTACATTTGTTGCTAACTCTGCTGTAAGTACACCTGTTCACTTCTTGCACTCCCCTCTTAGGTTGAAGAAGATAAGGTAGAGATACACTTTATTCTGCATTAATCTTGTTCAGGTAATTTGTCAGTGCTTTAAGAAATAAAGGGAATGTCCAAATTTATCCTTACTGTCCTGACTTGTCATTTGTGTCCTTTGATCTCTGGGCCAAGCAATGTCTGTGTCTAACTGGCCTTACATCCTCAGTCAGCAATTGATCCCACCTAACAACAGCCACCTTAGAGGTGAAATATTTCTTAATGTACAACTTAATTCTCCTTTCCTATGGGTTAAGGCATAAAAAAAAGGTTATTCCATTTCTCTTTACAGGGTTCTCTAAGATCATTGAAGCCCATGATCCACATCTACACCCAGCCTTCCCATTTCCCAAACTACACAGCCCATACACCTACCATGTTTTTCTGCATGACTGATCACTCCCACCTTCCTCTGAGTTTGTTCCAATCTATCAATTTTTTTCTTGAAGTGGGAAAAGGAAATCCTGCATGCTCACCAATGTGAAGTTGCAACCTAAACTACTTTGAGTGCCTCCTCCTCCCTGTTAAACATTCCATGTGCAGACTTTTGTTCAAAGAGGTGTGACCCCTGTGAGGAGTGAATTGAGCAAACTTGTTTAACTTGAACTGCAGTGGAAATGTAGCGTATATGGAAGCTGTCACTGCACTCAGCAAGGGGACAGTGAGACTAGTTTAGCAAGAGGGATTAACACAGTCACTTATTTAACTCCCCTTCTAGAGTTCATTCCCTTCAACATCAGCCACGCACTTTGTCCCCTTCATGATTAATGTTTTCAGTGATGACTGAAGCAAATGTTGCTAAGTATTCTGGCCTCCTCACCTCAACCTACGGTTCATTTTCTCTCCCTGTAAAAGAGTGGAATAATTCTGCCTCTTACAGCTATTTTCTTTACACTGAGTGTTATCTTGTCACTTCTGGTTTTTTATGCCATCTCATTTTATCGCCCTGGCCTGCCAGATTTGGCTCATGCTACTGTTTTATACCCTTCCTCAGTAGGTTCTGTGCACATCCCATCTGTGTGCTGTCTTGCTGCTGTTCAAAGACACTTCTTTGCTGAGGTGCCTAAGTCAATGATTTTACCCATCTGATAGTCTTACTGCTGCTTGTTCAGGGGGGAAAAAAAAAAAAAAAAAAAAGAAAGGAGTATTAAGGCAGTTTGTAAAACTACAAGTAATAGTCTTTTCTCATTACAGATCAGGACAGTCTTTAAAAGGACACGTTTTTCCTGTTACTCTGGTGCATCTATGTTTGTATTAGTTAAGCATCTGTGTTTGTATTAGTTGTGACAATTGCCACGCAAATCGAGGCACTAGTGCTGATGAGGAGCTTGTCCTTGCAAAACACACTGTCCCTGTCTCAGAGCTATGTCAGACCTTGCATCGGGTGTGTCACCTCAGGGGGCTGCTTAGCAGTGGCTGCACTGGTTGGATGTCTGTACAAAGGCCTTTGGGGAGAGTCACACAGCCAGAGGAAAACTAAGCTTCTGCAAGACCAAAATTTCCACCTCCTCCAGACATTTGGAGACCTGCCAGTTCACAAAAATCCTTAGCTGATAAGGGCCCCAAAAGCTGAGGACTGAGGAAGACATCTAGCAGGTGTCAGCCTGCAGGCTAAAGGAACCTGGACAGTAAGAGGTACTTTGGTTCTTCCTGCCCTAAACAGGCTAGTTCAGGAAAAACAATTCAGGTAACCAGATAACCAATTATTCCTGACCTTGGGGGTAACCCAAATGCTGGTGGCAAGGGCCTCTGAAGTCATTCCCTGAACAGCAGTGGCAGGGTTTCCTGGTGCAGATGCTGGCCCTAGGTCAGGCTGTTGGCCAGGAAGGCAGGTTTCAATGCTCCCGGCTGTTTTCCCTGTGTAATAGTGGTTGGATAGATGTAAACAAGAGAACCTGGTTCCAGGGCCCAAAAGAACCGCATTTGTGCCGACAGGCATACGGGAGCAGGAAATACCGCCTCTGTTCTTGGTGTAGCGAACAGAAGGCGCTGCTCCCCTGCCTGTAGGAGTAACAGTAAACACCCCCACTGAAGCTACTGTAAACATTAATCCGAGCTGTAAGCTTATTCACGGGCTCTAAAATCAGAAGCTGAGATACTTAATCTGTTGATTTGCTCTAATACCGAGAGGCTGCAAATGAGATCGGCTCACTGTTACTATATTAGCTGTAACTAGCCGCGATGTAGCATGCACCTCCGATACACACACTGAACAAAATCCTTCCCGCTCCTTTCCCGGGTAAACCATAAGGCACCTGAAGAAATACTCCTTCCCAAAGAGCTCTACCTCGCACCTGTTCCTGCATCCCCGCCGCTGGCGCCCTGGGACAAGCGTTAAGCCCAGCCGGGACTGTGTGGGCAGTGCTCCCTATTCCCAGGGCACGGCTCCTACTGCCGCCGGGGTGAAAGAGGGCAGGAAGGGCCGGCACCAGGAGGGGCCACCTCCACCCGGAGGAGGAGCCCCGCCCGCCACTCTTAAGCACCGTGACCGGCGCTGCCCCGCGGCCGGACCGGCCATGGAAGTGGTATGGGATTTCGTGATATCGCTGCTGCGGTGAGTGCGGGGATACCCACACCCCTTCTCCATCCCCGCTTCCCACGCTGATCCCGGCGGAGGGTCTGGCTGCCGGGGGGTGCCCTAGTCTGTACAGCTCTCTGTCGGCTCCAGCGCTGCGGGAGCAGAGGGCGCATCGGGAGCGCTGTGCGAGGGCGGCCAAGGCGGGGCTCCTGGGGGATTAAACCTGATGGGCGCTGGGTGGGAGAAACAAGTCGGGACACTCCCGCAGCCCTGCAATCCTTCTTCAGGAAGAAGTTCTTTACAGAGGGAGTGATTGGGCATTGGAACTGGCTCCCCAGGGAGGTGGTGGAGTCATCGTCCCTGGAGGTGTTTAAGAAAAGGCTGGATGTGGCACTCAGTGCCACGGTCTAGTAGACAAGGTGTTAACTCAGAGGTTGGACTCGATGATCTCGGAGGTCTTTTCTAACCTTGATTCTGTGATCCTGGCTGAAACTCTGTTGAGGGAAGCGCAAGTAGGAGCCTTCAAACTGCTTGCGGAGGTGCAACGACCGGGAGCGCTCACATCCCGGCATCCGAGGCTGCCGCCTGCGTGCCAGGAGCTGGCGCGTCAGCAGCGGAGCCTCCAGGTAGCCGGGAGCCGTTCGTACTCGGTGACAACATGACCACAACCCCTGGCCTCTGCTAGCTTTCCAGGAGTGCCATCCACATCCATGGGGATACAGTTGCGTACACTACCCAAAAATGCATCCGCTGCCAGCTGCGGTTCTGTTATCTCCACAGCTCTTGTTCTGTTAGGGAGACCGTGGCTGCAATCTGGTTGAACCCTAAGTCTCCTGACTAATTTCTGACCCTTTTGTTTTTTGTTTTTTTTTTTTACTTCACTGTTACTGACGTTGCCGTTTGCCAGTGAACCCTCACCTAAAAATCAAACCGTGCCACATCCTGGAACCACTTGTGTTGTGCAACACTGATTTTTCTGAGCGAGATTCTTATACAAACATATGGGGCACGTTGCAAACAAGGATAAAGAGTGAAATATGTGTACAGGGCTCAAAGCAGGCTTTTAATCCCTGGATTCTCCTAAAAAAATGAATGAATCTCTTCCACCAGATTTGACATTACAGTGAATGCTTGCAGCAGTATCTGGGAGTCCCCCTCTAGCAGGTTGTAGTTATCCGAAACAAACTAGGTAAGATGCTAGATTTTTAAGATATTTGATCTTTCACTTAAAAATGTATTTTTGTTTTCCACAGACAAAGGATTTCTCTTCCTTTAGGGAAGAGCTAGGACTCAATCCTTTTAACTTTAAAGAATAATAAAAATATGTGTATCTAAATATGTGTATAAAAATAATAAAAAAAAATGTGTATCTAACATGTCACTCAACTTTATAATAAAACCAACTATACCTTAGTTTCTTTCCACCACTTGTTTCCTGACTTAGCTTGATCAGCTTCTAATAGGAAATTATTTTTGGTAACTCCAGTCAATCGGTTTGTCTGGGTCTTGAGGACAGCTGCAACAAGAAGGGATTTTTCTAGGAGCAGTGAGTGTAAGCTGGCCTGTTTGAGTCTGTAGTCTGGGAAAGAGAGTGGCACACAAAACAAACAAACAAACAAAAAAACCCCACAAACACAAATCCAAGCTCTCAGGAATTGGCCCAGAAATGGAAGGGTTCACATTCTGTTTATCTGGCTTTATTTAATCATACTGGCTTTTGTCTCCTAATACTTCTCATTAGCTGAAACCTCAGCCTGCCCTGGAGCTCAGACTCACTGCTTCATAAGTAGCCTTCATTTAAAGATGCTATTGACAGGTTTTACAAAAATGTACGTGAAATGTCATCACTGTTAAATAAATTCTTATGACTTCAACTCCTGTTTAGTCACTGTCTGGTGGAGACAATGAAAGTCCTGGTTTATTAACCTGATTGGTTTGGGTTTTTTCTCTGACTTTTTAAATCTCCTACAATTAGGCAGCAGTGTGAGGTGACTGATCTCGAATCCTTTAGGAGCTTCTACTCAGAGCTTTAAAGTATGGCTTGTATGTGCTAATGCCTGAGGTGAACCCTGTTAGCTCCAGTTCTGCCATGAGCTGTGCCCCTAATGCTTTTCATTCTGTATTGGCATGTATGTTTTGGCTCTTTACCTTCTGCTTTGTCTTTTGTGAATGACAACTTGGCTTAAGTAATGGGAAAGCAAACTTTTCAATGGGTCTGGTATTGACTGTCCTCAAAAAAAAAAAAGTACTGTCATATACATCACTCAAGTAACTGTTCTACATACTGGTTTTCAAATGTGTAAGAGGGAATGAGATGCAACTAGCTGTGAAAGCTCTTGAAACCTGAGTGCTGCACTTTCTAACATCAGGATGCCCTGTGAAGTGGTGTCCCCAGCCCCAAGGTAGATGAGCAGGCTTCCTGTCTGAGGAAGAGACTCAGTGATTCAGAACGCAAGCTGCCCACAGACCAGTGGGGTGATTGGGGGAGAATTAACTTAGTCAGCAACGAGATTGACAAACACGCCCTGCCCTAGCAGGCTTCCCTTCTGTGGAGCTTCAATGCCTTTGTCAGTGCTACTGTCACCTTCTCCTCCTCCCTGGCCTTGACCCTTCTCCGGGAGGAATAGTGCTTATTAGCTCTTCAATTGGAAACAATGCTTGTTTCCTGAAAGCCATGTGGATCTTTGAAAAAGATGTGACTGGGACATTATTAGTTGAGTAACTTTATACCATTTCATTGTTGTTCTAGAATTTCCTGTATTCACTCTCTGGCTGCAAAAAGAGGCTGCCAGTTCACTCCTTTACTCTTGGTGAAAGTGTCTGAGAATAGATTTTCCTACATAAAGTTGACTTTTCACACCTATGTGGGAGAACAAAATGGGGATGCATCCTTTTCCCATCCCTGAGCAATTCAGTATTAAGGAGCAAAGGAGGTAAAGTTCAGGGGTGTGGCAGGCAAAATATTGTCTCCCTCTAAAACATTTCAAGATCAATCCTTTCTTTCCAGGTGTCAGGCAGAGCATCATTTTTGGCAAGATGACTACTGAATTAGCCAACAGCATTTGGCAAAAAAAGTGGCACTAAATGTAGATGAGAGCAGGTCTGTACCTTGGTGTGGGAGCAGGCAGTTACCAGTGTTGTGTGCTTGGTTTACCAAAGGGAAACAGCCACTATTAAAGCATGCAATTGCCCAGAAAAATCTAAAATGTCTTTCTAAAAGTGTTTGAATTTTTCCAGCCTCTCTGACAGCCTGCTCCAACACCATGTATTTAGGTACTTGGATCTTTACTTTCATTTCATTTGACTCCTTCTGACACGTTAGGGCACAAACAAGTCTCAGTTTGTGTTTTTGAAACCTCCATCAGGTTTTATACGCTGTAGATATAATTTACAAGACAAAGGCCTTGGCTGTTTGTAAGTCAAGCATAACTATATCAAAAAGCTCCACTTGCATAGGTGTTTTGAATATGGGTAATATGTTCAGTCTTCTTAAAGCAAACTCCTATCTTAACACATAAGGTTAGTTTCAACTAATTATTTATCTTACTGCATGTTTATCTTGCAGGTAAAAAGAATAATCCAAGTGATTGAATGCAGTAAGAGCTGCTACCTTTTTAATTCAGTATTAAAACCCATCAGCTTCACTGCAATTGTGACCTTGATGCCAGCTGAGCTAGAGGTGGCCCGTATCTGCTTGAAATTGTTTTAGTTTTAAAAGTGCTTCCAAATGTCATGGGCGAAAGAGAAAGTTCAGAGACATACCTGTAGGGCTGCGTAGTACTTATCTTTGAAAGGAAGCTCCACTGGTCTAACGTGATCCGTGAATTACTCGTATAACGTGATTATGTCATTGAACTCAACAGTCCTCCTCCTTCTAGCAGAACTTGACATGACTGGTTTTTTTTATAACTGTGTTGAATTTTTGTTTGTCTTAGATCTTTGATATCCATGGGAGCATCTGTAGGAGCCATAACAAAACAGGCCCTGTTCCCTCCTCTCATGCCTGCAGGGCGACCTTTCCGTGTGTCCAATGCCTCCCGAAGCAGGCGGAAAGGAATTGTTGCAAGCAGCCTGCAAGAGCTCATCAAGAAGGTATAGCAAGAAATCCCACTCTGACTGAAACTTATAGTGAAATACAGTGTCCCAGAAAGACAAACTTTTCCTTCTAAAAATCATTATTGGGGAAGTTTGGGAGACTATGTCAAATAAACAAATCTTAATACGAAATGACTGGCTCTCTTTAGAATGCTAAAATGTACTGGGTTTTTTTTCAGACTTTAGATTCCTTCTTTATATCTACTGGAAGAATTACTATGGTTTTAGAGGAAGATGGCACAGTTGTGGACACAGAGGAGTTTTTCAAGTCCCTGGACGATAATACACACCTCATGGTTCTAGAAAAAGGACAGAAATGGACAGCAGTAAGTGTTGACTGCTTCTCTCTCACTTGAGTAGAAGTGGATGAAAGAATGTTTGTGGCTGCTAAAATTGTTGAAAAGAGGGGAGAAGAGGAAGAAAAATTACCCAAAAAAAGTCAAGGTATCAACTCCTTGTTGAGCCTTCCTAGGGGAAAAATCAAGCCCATATTTTTTATTGTCCCTTGTTTGGACATAATCTGTTGGCGAAGATGCACCAGGAATTGAAATAAAACATTACAACTGAAAAGAATTATAGGGAAAATACCCTGCTTTGAGAGAAATAACTTTGTTCATTACTTACTTTTTGTAACGTAAAGAAAATTAGAAACTTGTATTTTTTTAACTTCATGGAGTCAATGTCCTTAAAAGCCAGCTTTTAAAGCATAAAAACCCGTCAAATTAAGCAATGTAAATCAAGTTCTGTCTTGTGAATGTAGCAATAGTTTAGTGAAATTTAGAAAAATGCCTGTTTAATTTTACAAATAGCTAAAAGTCGGCATTAGAACCTAGCATTAGTCTACATGCTTCAAGATGTTTTAAGAACTATTGAAACTGGCTGGCTTTAGCCTTCTAATCACATCAACTCAGTGTCCAATTAGTGGTTTTGTGGGGAGATAATCATCTGTACGTTAATAACATAGTCAAACTCCTAACTGTCTTTCCTTTTCATGGGTGTTGCTAGCATCAACATTTTTTCTACCAGGTGCAGAGCCAGCTGTGGAGCTGTAAGCAGACATACCATTTTTATGTTTGTACACACACGGCTCAGTTGCGTGGCCCTGTTTCCTCAATCTCCTGCTGCAGTGTGGGCAGTCTGGACATTTTCCCCCAAGATACCTCACTGGCTTACCAGCCTGCTGCATCTGGGCCATGAGCTCCAAGGGCAAAAAAGAAGTTGTGGCCAGAGTGTGATTCCACCTTGCTCCTTTCCCCTCTGTCGTGTCTGGCATGGCAGCAGCACAAGTTTGAATGCAGCCCATCTTCAGTATATGCTGACTGACAGCAGGACTGCCTCAGCTTCACAAATCATCTAGAGTGCAGCACCAGCTCTGTTATGCTTTATCCAAATATTCTGGATGCAAATAGGGAGGGTCTAGGAGGGGACATGCTACCAAGTAAATACTAGCTACTCCTACATATCCAAAGCTGTTGTTGATAGGGGACCCTGTTGCTGGAGTTCGGAGGCTATCAAAGTAAAACAGGCATAAAACTGTTGGCTAATGATATACTGCTGTGTTTAACTTTGTCTGACTTGTCATGGCACTGTCTGAGAGCTGGGGTGACAAGAACAAAAAGGCCCAGTCTTACGCAACTTTATTGCTTCATTTAGCATGCAAAAACCAACCTGACAGCTGCCAGGCCATTAACCTTGAGAGGAATGTGCTGAGCAGAGGATCCTGTGTATCCACTAGATGTCTCTGTAAATATGGATTCTCTTTGCTATTTTCTTTTTGTTTTTCCTTTCTTGAAGCACACTGTCAGCCCTGCAGGAGACAAGGGCTGTTTTCAATAAAGGAGGCTGGATTTAAGGTGGAAGATGACTTTCCACGCTCCTTCTCCTTTGATTTTTCTCTTTAAAACTCATTACTAAACCCTAGGCCTAATCAGCAGCGGTTCCCTCCCTCTGTTTCTTTTTAGTAGGAAGAAAAAGAGGTGTTTTGAGCCAGGGTTTGAAATGAGGACGTGACTTTTCACATATGTCATCTTTGTAGCTGTCTCTAAGACTGCTCATCAGTACTGTCTTCCTTCCTAAACAGAAGGTCATCCTGGTTATTTAGTGACCTGTTTCAGTGTGGACTAACTGTGCTGCCTCAGATAGCAACTGGAAAGTAACAGATAAATAAAGAGTAGGAACACTCTACAGTGTCATTACCTGTGGCTTCAGTATATACTGAAGAAACTCTACTACAGAAAAGAAATATTCAGGAGGTGCTATGTCACTTGAACTTCTGTGTCATTTTGGAATAGCTTCAAAATCCTGGTCAGGACTTGAACAAAACTACATAAGATACAGACTTGTTTTTCTTTGTGCTAACGCTTTTAATTCTGGTTTAGAATTGACCAAGAGCTAACCCTAAGACTGGAATAGAGCTAACCCTAAGACTGGAATAGAGCTAAGCCTAAGACTGGAATAAGCAAAGCTGCTTCTGAAGGGCTGCATTGTTAACGATTTTCTTGCTGTAGTTTCCTGGGTCATGGTACAAACTGTCTCTCTTTCTTTTAAATTAGACAAGAAATGGGGTAGCTAACATCACATTTGATCTGTACAAGCTGAACCCTAAGGATTTTATTGGCTGCTTAAACATCAAGGCGACCTTCTATGAGATCTACTCTGTCTCATGGGATATCAAATTCATGGGAGCAAAGAGCATATTGCGGTAAGTATGTTGCCACTGCTGATCAGGTGTATATGTTAACATAAAATCTGTGTTTGCTATTGGTTGTGTGAAGCAGGTGCATTTATAAAGTTAGTATTATTAAAGTTAGTTTTGTTATTTCTTACATACTGGCCAATATGCTGAATCTTCCATTGTAAGGTGCATAGCTGACTTGCAAAAACTTTCTACAGCTTTTTATGGTGGAATCTTAAATTTCTCCCAAGGCAAAAATCTTATCAGCTTGTATTTACTGCAAGGGTGTAAGTATAGTCTCTTTGTTCTGCTGAGGGAATTTTCCCAAACTCCTTTGACTTGTTTGAAGAATGCAGAAGCCTGAGGAAGAAGCTCTTTGAAGGGAGGACTTCCAGGTAATGAAATTAGAGGAATTTGAGATCTAGTGTTAAAGCTTGTTGGACTTTGCAATTTCTGTCTGCCAAATTCACCAGCTGAGCTACACAGAGGCAAAGGAAAATGGAAGACATATGACACTCTATCTTATTGTGAATTTGTCATCTATAGTAAGACACTGATCTCACTATTCTTAAACCAAGTCGTCTGGAGGCAGACTAATGGAGATTATCAAGGACCACTCTCTTCTGCAGGACTAATCTGTGGTGGGTTATGAATTTGGTAGAACTGGCTGTTGGGAAATGCTGTCTTATTCAGGGGCAAAATAATACCTGTCCAGTCCACTGTTTTCAACAATGAGTTAAAAGTTGATGCCTTGTCAAAACTGTGTCCTGCCCTGGTTCAAGAAGACTCCTGAATTCAGGTACCTTCTTCACAGAGGTGCCATCCTTTGACAGTTGTTTAACCTGCAGCCCTGAATTTCTCTACCTGACTTTTCAAATTCTGGTTGATACACAACAGTGTGGCATTGCTGCATTTTATTACTCGAGGACCAGATCTGACAGATGGAAATATATGTCACAAGCAAAGTTTTCACTTCCCCTGAGTGACATGTAGTCTTTAGTTTGAAGTCATTAAGTATTCCCTCCTCTCCTGATGCAGGTATGCTAATTAGCATTGTAATGCTAATCTTGTTCCGCTCTTTCAGTCTGACTGACCTCTCCCACTCTACCTGGGGGGTCCCTTGCTTAATCTTTCAAGCTACAGCTGGTGTGACTGTAGACAAGACTGTGTCTCTGGTCAGGCTGCAGTGATGTTCCAGCTTCATGCTACACCCACCTGTAACACTGGCTTTGTTAGGGTTTCTTCAAAGCAAAGGTTTGCCCTTGGACAGCTGCACTCGTCCAGCTCCTGTGTTTGTCAAGTTTCCTAAGCCAAAACAAACTCTAATCTCTGGCTGCCTGCTATGGAGCTGAGTATCAGCACTGGAACTTGCGCTGCTAAGGAGAGTTTGAAGTGACAATTCTGCCTCCCTGCCAAGACAGGGCAGCTGCTGAGAAAGGAGTGGTGCTGGCAACAGCTGAAGTAGCTGTGGAGTTCTTCTGGAAGCACTGCTATGTTACAGAGTTGAACTGTAAGGGAAGTGCCAGTAGTAAGGTGGGAAAATAGTCTGCTAGCAAATAACGGGGGTGACAGAAGGTTATCTTAACCTAGGTGCCCTTGAACACAAGAGTGGGACAGCCTGTCTCAACTTGCTGTTTAAATAGGAGACAGATGATGTTAAGTCCCTCTGCTAATGAGTTCCAGACTGCTAATTCTGATGCCCTCTCCCTGAGTCTACTTGCAGAGTGTGAAGGGAAAGGGCTTAAAAAAATCTACAGTTGTTCATGGGTGGGAGGGACTGGAAGCTTGCCGGATCTGATTAGTACATTTCCCCTGATGTAGTCCCCCTGTAGTGTCCAACTGAAGGATCAAATGTCCAGTTCAACAAATAACTTGCTCCGTGGCTTAAGTGGCAACTGCTCTTGTGTGCAAGTGACACACTGCAGCTGCTCAAAAGCTCAGTACCAGGTGCAGCTTTCTTTACAACTGTAAAGCTCCTTGGCCTGCACTGTGCGATGGAGGAAGAACACGATGAAATGGCACATTTCAGGGAAGCACAAATAAGCGTACAGTGTTCTTGAAAGGCTTCCCAGGCTATAAGAACAGGGCATTCTACTCTTCTGAAGCACTGGATTTTGACTGCAACCCTTCTTTTATCAAAGCGGGGAAAAATGAATTTGTAGGAAGAAGACTTTGCCTTTTCTGCTGAAGATCAAAGGGCAAGTGAATAGCAGCAGAGGGTTCACGCCTACATACTTTCTCAGACAGGAATTCTGAAAATCTTCCCCCCTTTTTTTGCAGAAGAGGAAGGCTAGTCTGGTTTCTGCATCTTCAGAAACTGATCCCATTCCAGGTTTGGAATGGCCCCAGTTCTTGTGTATCTCTTCCCCAGTGCCTCAGCCTCATGCTTGTGAGGGCCTACTTGACTTCTGTGGGGATGAGACTCCACTATAGCTTTTAGTGCTGATATTCCCATTGTTTCTTGGAGAATAGAAGGAAGATGCACCTACAACTAAGATGAATAAACAACCATTCAGATATGACTATTTCCATTCCCCTGTGATCCTGTGGTGATCCACAGTTTATCTTGCAGACCTCCAACGCTTACCTGATATTAGCTAATGGACCTGCACTGATTCTTACACAGTATAATATATCTGAATGATGATACTTATTTAATCTTTTAAAAATAGAATAGCTGTGAACAGAGAATTCTTAAGGCTTGTGGCTTGGACAGCCTGACTTCATCTGGTTTCACCAGTCTTGCCATTGGGCATCCATTGTAGTGTGATTGTTCAGCTCCAGATCTAATTGGGTTTGATCTGTGGATTGGAGATATATGCAGGATTGCATGAATGACCTAAAGGTGGTGAGACATGAGGTGGATTTATGTTACAGGAATGCTGTGGAGCTCCCAGGAAAAGTTGTCTTCTGTGGTGCTCTGGTAGTTTGAGTAGGCCTGTAAATGTCTAGCAGGATGATAGCCTGCTTTGTTGAATGTGTTTTCTAGTTGTCAGAATGAACCAGTTTTATGTCAATCAAGTATTTTTTCTAAAGATGGTATAAAAATGACCAGCTGCTCAGAAACGAGAAGGAATGAGAGTTTTTAAAAATATCGACTTGACTCAAAAACATAGTGTGGGTGGAAAGGGGTAATGTCATCGTGCTGGTGATTTTTTTCTTAAATGAATGGCTTTTCTTCCAGGAAAGTGCTTCAGCTAATATCCCATGCAGCACAAATAGCTGGGCAGTTTCTTCTCTACACTGGAACATTTCTGTTGCAGTTGATGGGTGAATATGATGAAGATGACATGTGTACAAGACCAAGGCGGGAGTAGTGGACACAGCTGCACCTCTGATATCGGATCCTTTTGCTTAAAGGCATTCTTTTGCCCAGTTTTGATTGTCATAATGTTATAGTAGGGGGTTGTCCACTAATGTGAACTAACATTTTTCCCATTTGGGAATGCATGTAGGGCTCAGTCATAAAATAAGTGTTTGATGTTCACAGGCTCTTAATGGCTCAAAAGTATGTGTGCCTAATGACTGAGAGCTTGGCAGAAGGAGAGAGGGCAGGTTTTTTGCCCCAGCAACTCAAAACGGAGAATAAGTATACTTGGAAACTTGCATGCTTTGTAACCAGTGGAGTATTTTTTGCACCAATTAAAACATGGTTTGGTTGTTTTGGGGTTTTTTTTCATGGCTGTCTACTTGCATTCTGAACAGACTAGGCTGTAAGGTCAGGGCAAGGGGACTCCGGGTTTGTTTGTTTGTTTGTTTGAATCCTTAACAGTGCTGGTATTAGTGTCAAACTGGCATTGTGGTACAACAAGGTGAAGTGTACTTATTTACTCCTGCTAACAGTGGAACTACATAACACAACTTCAGTCCTAGTTCAGTGACTGACTACTCTCATGAAATCTAATTGGAGACTGGGCAGCTACTAAGCAGAAGCTTAAAATTTAGCCTTACTTCCCTTAAAACAAGTAAGAAGAAAAACATTTCATTATAGCTCTTCATATTTTTCTTCAAATCTTCAGGAAGTTCAGATTATTATGCCTCATACCAGTTGAAGAACCTGATGTATTTCTATAATGAATGTCATGTCCAGTTTTTACTGAGTATTGAATAATCTGCCGTGGTTTCATGAATATGGCTTATAAGTAACCTGCTGAAGTTTCCTGCAGGGGTTAAACCATCAGTTCTGTAGTTTTCACTGGTCGGTTACAAGATGACACTACTTCTCAAGTTGTGCTTGAGGTACATGTAAGAGATGCTGCATATTTTGATGCCCTGTGTTCAATGAGAGCAGCAGGACACTCTCTAGTCTTGCATAACATAAATGTATGCCCTAAAATGAGGTATTATAGTCTACCAAGACAGGCTGTATTAAAGGGCAAAGTAATGTCTACTGAACTGCTAGTATGACCAGATTTCAGAAAGCTTTTCCTCAACAGCATAAAAAATTGGAAAATGTGTAGCCTTAGGCATCTTGTGTCAAAATGTAAACTCACATTGGTGAAGGGAAAAAGCCCAACTTTCACTGTTTATAAGTGTGACTTTTGAGTTTTTTGTTTGCTTGCTCAAGAAAAATTTTAGTAAGACTAAAAGCTGTTAAGGAGACAGTAAAAACAGAGCTAAATGTGTCTGATGTGACAGTAGATTCCACCTAGTAAGAGAAGCTCTGGTGCAGAGAGGACAAGTGTGGGAGGGGAAGAAAGCAGTGAGAGTGAAAGGGAAGAGACTACTGTGGAGCCCACAGTGTTTGCCATGCCACTGAGACAGGAATCCACTAACTACGTACATCAGCTGCATTGATCAGTTGGAAGAAAACCTAACCTGATAAAAGAGAAGAAGGAAGATTGAAAAGATGAAGCACCGTGGTTGGTGGGATCCATTCTGACCTGTCAGCTGGTTCTGTTCACTTCAAGTGTCACTAACACGGGAATATTGCTCACCTTCATATGCTTATTTTTGCCTTCCTATTATGGATGGGGCTGCATCTTTCAAGTCACTGTTGTGATGAAAAGCAGCCTAAATCCAAGTGCTGAAGGGACTGATGGACACAACTTTGGTAGGCCTCTGCCTGTCTCTTCAGTAATGGTAGTGCAAATAAGTAGACAGCTAAGAAAAACCTTGGGTTTTTTTTTCCTCTGATTTCTGTTTCCCATCTACTTCTGAGTGTTTGCTGGAGGAGGAGAGAAGGCATACTGCTCAGATAAGGGGAGGACTTCTTCTGTCCTAGTTTCTCACAGGGAATAATTCCTGTAGTTTACTGCACTGCCATGTGTCCTTCAGAAGAAAACAATAAACTATTCTGGAAGTAATGAGAAAGAGATTTTATTAAAATGAAAGCTTTATACTTTATTGTTCTTAACACCCCCCACACAGATGATTGTTGCCATGTTAACTGTTGTCTCTCCCTGTCAAGGTACTGCATTTAACTGACTTTGCAAGGACTTTGTAATTAACTTTTTTCAGCTTTTAAGGATCACTTATTCTATTAAAACAAACACATCTCTTGAAAGCAAATTCTGTGAAATGCTTCTAAGAATATTTATCTTGCTAATGGTGGGAGCACCAACATAAAAAAAAAATAACAAAACCAACTTGTATAGTTCATTATTGCTTTTTTTAAGTTGCTTCTTCAAAATCTGTAATATAAAAGCTTTTGCATGTCTGAACTGTGCAGATCTCGAATTCCAGCCAGAGGCAATTGTTACAGAACTAACGCTCCATAGTTTCCAATGGCACAACCTGGGAACTTCACAGTGATCTGAAATGCTATCTTGTTATGAATTTGCAATGTTTTTAAGCAGCTGCTGCTTTGACAGCTTAAACTGTCAAAGCTTGAGCTGCTGAAGGTCATGTGAGAAGCAGTCTCCATCTCAGAGCATTTCCCTCCCATTCAAAATGCAAACTGCTGAACAAAATAACTCAGCTTTGATATTTTCTCAAAATGGGAGAAGCATCTTGGAAGTCGTGTTTAAAACTGTTTCATTGCTTCTGAATCTGGGTCTTTCACAGGCTTAGTATTTGGGGGATGATATTTGCTACTGTACCAACTTCCTTCCTGAAATAAAGTTTGGCTTTGGGTCAAACTGGGTAAGTTTGTCGTTCTCTGAGTTGGAACCAGTTTGATTATTTATTTTCTTTTACAGACTGCTTAGGAAGCATAACTTTTATTTCAGCTGTGTAAGGTACACAGCAAAGAAAACCTTCAGCTCTATCTACCTTTCAGAAAATTATATACAAGCGTTGTACAATATCTAGCAACAATTAGAAAAACTAAAAGCACTGGCCCTTAAAGGCAGGTATGTAGAGCTAAAGCTAGATTTTCTACCTGACGTTTTTAGCTTTAGTTTTCCTTTCCATAAACTCAGTTAACCTGCACTTGTGACTGTTGCAGACCAGGCTGGTAGCAGTGACATGTAGAAGGTGTGAGACACATTTACTGCCTCATTGCTTGCACTGACCCTTTTTGCCTGTTGCTTTGCATCACTTACTAACAATGCACCAAGTCATACTCTCTAGTTACCAAAAAAGGAATTTTCACTGAAGTACATGATCTTGTTGACTCAGGCACTGCTCATGTTCTGCAGGCAAAACAAAGTTGCTCTCTCCAGAATGGAGGATCTAGTAGCTTTTTTGTGTATATAATTTATCATTACTTCATTTCCTTCCTTTCGTAAACCCGTGAAGTTTTTGCTTTCTTGTACCTTCCGATTCTTTCAGAAGAAACAGGATTACAAGCTCTTCTGTCCAGGGAGAGAGGAAAAAACAGGGTCTGAATTCCTTAGATCGTTTGGAATATGCTCTAGGAAACATCCTGCACCCCTTCCCTATCATTCATTTCCAGAGAAGAGAAGGGTAAAGAAAGGAAAATAGGACTTTGAGCTGAAAGTCTTTTCAGTGAAGTGAGTAGAGAGGTAGGTGTTCACAATTTTGGAAATGTTAGTAATTCTGAATATTAACTGTGAAGATAACCACATATGCTAATTTGTAACTGACTAGAATTGCAACTTCTAAATCATTTCAGTATGTGTCTTCCTGAGATAGCACTTGAACTAAGGGCGCAAGCTTCTTTAGTAAAAGTAAAAGTAGGGTTTAAAGCCAAAGTACAAAGTATATTTTTTACTTGATTCCTCAAGTTTTACTAGAGGTCTTAATGTGATTAACATGCCACTTCAATTATATATCCTTGTGGGGCTTAGAGTTTATCACTGCTTCCTCTACCTTACATCATCATATATGCAGTTAAGATATTTTAAACATGAGGAATGTTGTTTTGCTAAAGGAAAATATAGTACTTTACCACTTCACAATTTTCAAGCCCAGTAGTTTAACTTCCTATGAAAATTGAGATGGGTGAAAATTGTGTCAGTGATGGCCATATTTTCTGCTGTGTGGTGCCAATTTTAAGGAACGCTGTCTGTGAATAAACAAAATCACATGGTGGCATTGGATGTTGTCTCTATTCATTTCCAGAATAACTTATTCTTCAAATAATCACGAATGTCAGTGAATCTATGGTCTGGCACAGACAGTTTCCAAAAGCTGGATTGTGGCAGTGAAGTAACTCGATACTATTATGTGGCTCTGAACTCTTAACTTTCTACTGCTGACTCACTTTCTGGCCTCAGAGAAACCGTGCATGCTGTGTTTCCTTTCATACAGAAAGAATGCTTTCTTCCATCTTTTACAGAAGTTGCAAAAGACTAAAATGTACTGAGAACAGGAGATAGAAGGGTTCAGCGATCTCTGGTGTTCACTAAACACTGTTAGGATTAAGGACCTCTTTTAATAATGCCTCACAAAAACTCCCTGAAGTCATTTACCTACAGATAGACTAGTAGACATTTGACTGCAGGGAAAAAGTAATTTAGTTTAGTGAAATATTATATTTGTCAAGTTCAGGATCAGATGAAGCTTGAGGAGGAATAGCATGCAAGTGTGATTTGTCTAGTGCTGATCTACCTAAATAAGGGGCAGTTTTGCAGTTTGACTAATGGGCAGTTCCCCTCTTGTGGGAGAAACAGGTCTGATTTCTTCCTCTGGGAAAGCACAAAATAGAACTGTATTTGGTTTAGTGGCAAGGCTTTGGCAGTGAGAAGTGGAGGGATCCTGTGGGGGTGGCCTCTGTGTTTTACAGAGCTGCTTCCAAAATGAACCAACCATTGCCCAAAGCTGAGCACTTCAAACCAGTTCGCAGTGTCTCTGTGAAAACATATTTATGAAAAAGGATGAAAAATTCTGTGCAGCAGCTGTGAGAAAGAAGTGAAAAAAATACAAGAGATAACCTGCAGACATCAGGGTCAGGAAAGAAGGGGGAGGAGGCGCTACAAGTGCCAGACAGAGCTTCCCCTGGAGTCTGTGGAGGAACACGCTGGAGGAGATATCCACCCAGCCATTGAGGACCCCTCCCACAGCAAGTGGACGTGCCATGAGGGAAGCTGCGGCCTGTGGAGACCCCATACATGAGCAGTTTTTCTGGCAGGAGCTGTGGCCAGTGGGGGATCCACTCTGGAGCAGCCTATTCCTGAAGGACTGCACCCTGTGAAAGGGACCCACACCAGAGCAGTTTGTGAAGGACTGTGGAAAGGGCCCACGCTGGAGCAGAGGAAAAGCATGTGAATGAAGGAACAGCAGAAAAAAACTGTTGTGGACTGACCATGACCCCCATTCCCCTGCATTGCTTGGGAACAGGGAGAGGAGGTAGAAGAGCTGGGAATGAAGGAGTGAAGCTGAGCTTGGGAAAAGAGCGGAGGTTGGGGAAGGTGTTTTTAGTTTTGTCTTTGTTTCTCACCATCCTACTCTAGTTGAAAATAAATGAATCTTCCCAGAGTTGTGTCTGTCTTGCTGGTGTCAGTGATTGGTGAGTGATCTCCCCATCTTCATCTAGACCCACAAACTTTTTCATCTTATTTTCTCCCCATGACCTGTTCAGGGGATGAAGTGAGAGATCAGCTGGTGGGTGCCTGGCACACAGACAAGTTTAACATACCACAAGCACAAAACACCAGACATAAGAATAAGCAAAAAACCCAAGCTGTCTGTGCTATCAGTGACCAGTAAAATTGGAAGCAAATCTTTTGGAGTGGAGTGTTTTCTGAATGGCTTTTCACAGCAATGTTTGCAGAGACAAAATCCAGTCATACGCAGGACAAGGTTAATATTTTCAGTTTATTAACCTCAAGCTCAAGCGTGGTTTTTCTAAGATCACCCATCAGTCTAAATCATTCATAGTAGGCCCAACTCCTAGTGTGTTCTTGGTGAGAAATATTTATTAATAAATATCAATTGTCACTTGAGAAAGAACTTTGAAACAGTGCTCTTAGTTGTTTCATAAAGCAACTAATGAAATGGAACACTAGAAATAAAGTATGTCTTAATAGAGTCCAGAATCAGGATAATGCATTTTATGCAGTTCCAACATAAAATGTTAATTGATCACTAGTTTTGTAAAAAGTCTGCTTCAATAATTAGTACACATTATGTATAGATTAGGTTTGGTGTTTTTTTAGGTAATGTACCGACTGTCACAGGTTGGTTGTAATTCTGTCATGTGTTAAAAAACCAACCAAAAAAGCTTAGATCATAGAACAGCAATTCTATTGAAGAAAACAGTAGTTTAATTATGTAGATAATCAGTCTATTATAGACCCAGAGAAATCTCAGACATCTAAGAAGTCCTTTAAAGTCTTAGAGGTTGGTAGAATTATTTCTGACATATTTTTTAATTACATTATGAAGTCCATAATCTTTTATGTTAAAAGCATTTCTAATTACAAAGCGTCTTCCCTTGCATAGGTATGTGGCTTGGTTTGCTGCTGCTCTTTATTAAGCAGTGTTTTCAAATGCTCTTCTGCCATCTCAGAAATCAGGAGAGAATGTACAAAACAACAATAAATATTCTTATTTAAGTATAAGGACTACCAGTTTATTATTGAGCTAGTCAATATGATGTCTGTGATAATCTCTATTTTCTTCCTGAGAAGCTAAATTACAAATGCCATAATTTCAGATTCCTGTACAAAATGTGCTCTCCCAGCTGCAGCTTTCCTGCTTTCTTGCCCACTTAGGAAAGTTCCCCAGCAAAGCTACCTCAAACAGTTGCAGAATATTGGTCCAATTTGCATGCAACTCCCCAGGTGAGCAAGCTTTCCAAACAGAAGCTGCTATCTTCCAGAGTAACTGATGAGTTTTAAGAGACAATTGATTATTCAACAATAAATCCATTTTATCTGAAATCAGAAAGTACTAAATAGGTGCTGCAAATAGCTAGCTATTCCAGTCTCCCAGAAATGCCATTTGATCTCCGGATGGGATGATCAAGCTGGTTTTCCTCCTTACCATAAACATTTTCTGCAAACTGCATTAGAATCAGTATTTCATCTACATAAGAAAAGTACAGTTTCTAATAGTTTCACCTCTGTGACCACTGAATTCAGTAAACAATCCTCTCCATTCCTTCTGGTCTTATCTGGCCCTGACATGGTACCATGTTCAGTTTTCCCAAGAGCTGTGATCAGTGAAAACAAAGCAGGTTTTGTCACTAGCAGCATCAGCAGTGGCTAAAGGCAGTAGCAATCTAACAGATAAAAATCACTTTTGTTTCTCTGACTTCTACCTCTCCAAAGGGTTGTTGAGTTGGTTTTGACATTTATTTTGGGTTTTTGTTTTCTTTCTCCAAAAAAATTCCAACTGCTACATTCTATTTTTCTCTGTGTCTGATGCCATTACCTAGATGTCACCAGCTTCAAGTACTCAGTTCCTTCAGCTATTTTTCTATTTCTTGCTCTGGTGACCCCTTTACACGTGCAATCTGTTATCTTGTTTCTTTTGTGGCCTTCCATCACCTATTCAAGATTCCCTCTGGGCACATTCAAACTGAAAATACTCCATGACTGAGAAGAGAAGGGGAGGGGTTGGTAGGTGTTAAAGTAAATATAAGTTTTCAGAAAAAACATTTCTATCTGCCTTGCTCTAGTTCATATTAAGTCTTTTTACATAGAAAGGATCAGCCCCTTTTTTTTATGCAGTACTTTTAGCATGACTGTCTTCCATACTTACCAAGCTGCTGTCCTGAGATAAAAAGCTTCTGATTACTTAGAGCTGTGCCCTCTCTCTTCCTGACAGATCATACAGGCCACATGTGACATAAAGTCCCTATTCAGTACAGACTCAGGACACCACAATGAAATAATTTTGCACAACAGAGATGTATCTCTCTGCAAATCTTACATGCACAGGCATCAGCTGTCTCCACACCCTTCCCACAAAGCAGTGGCATTCAGTTGTGCAGCCAGTGTATATTGTAACCCCCTATACTCCTGCATTCTGGTGCTCTGTTCAACAAAAGGGACCATGAAGCGCATTATTCACCAGGCAGTGGGTTGAGTCCTGGCCGTGGGCCAGACTGACCTCTTACATTCTTAGCATTCACAAGCCTTTAAGTCATGAATATGGTAATGCTGCTGACAGGCTGCAGTCCACGGCAAGGGGTGTACACCCTGTGTCTCACCGCTGCAGAGCGCTTTTCTAAGAAAAATAATGTTAGGCTCTCTGTTTGTGAATGTTGACTTCCCCTCCTAATTCCCGATCTGCAGCTCTTGGAGCACCCTGCTCAGAGAGGGATGGTTCAGCTGCCTTTGTGCATTTAGTACCAACACATTCCTGTAGTGGCTGTTCCCACCCACCCCTGACAGTGCTGGGGACTGTGCTGTTAAAAATAAGCCAGGCTTTGGCCAGCAGGAGCTTGTGCTGTTTGTCCTGGGGCGTGTGGACTTGTGAGGAATGGTGCTCTTCTCCTTACAAATGTAATCTGAGAGAATCATTTGTGAAGCAGGCTAGAAGCGGTATGCTGATGTGGGATGGACACGTGTGACAGATGAATAGGATCTATGCTGGTGAGGGAAGGGTGGCAGCCAGGAGCCACTCACCACCTGAGAAAAAGGGTAAGGAAGGAAACTGTGACTAACCTGTGAAACCCAAGACCTGACCAGAGCAATTTATAACTGATTTTAGCTGCAAGCCTACTCTTACAGAAGAAGTGTTTCTCACAGTGAGATGAACCACTTATACTTGGAAAGCTACACATTTCATCTCAAATATATGCTTTGCTTAGTAAGTGTTAAATAACTGACACTCTAAACAGGACTCCAGCTCTTTGTCTTAGAGGTCAATTGTTTTTTCGTCTTTCTCAGAGAACAAAACCATGAAGAGTTAAGTTTGTGCAATAAAACCCCCATCTATCTTTCCCCCTTCCCCTCCTACATGTTGCAGTACACATCTCTGTTGCAAGGTATTTTAATTCAAGAGTCTTAAGGAGACTCAGCTGGATGGAATAAGATGCAGGTGCTCCTCTGCTTTAGCAACAAAATACAAGAAAAGTCTAGATGAGCTCCACTGGCTGTGTTTGGACCAGCTCTGCTTAATTCAAAATTAGCTGGGGAAAAAAAAAGTATTGAACTGGTAAATCTTTTTGATGGTACGAAAATCTTCAGGGTAGTCAAAGCTGCTATCAGTTGGACTGAGTTTCAGAAGTATTTCATGATACTGATTTGAATAAACAATAGGTGACGAACCTTAATATCTGTAACTGCATAATACAGGGGAAAATAACTCTGTATTTGCAGTGGAGGGATCCAATCTAGCTGTCACCACTGTCAAAAGACATCTTAGAGGTAGTGTGAATAGTTCAATGAAGGAAAAAGCTCAGCAGAAACCAAGAAGGCAAACACAAGGGCATGAAGCATCCTATAACACAGCATAAAAAAACGGCCATGATTTAAATACGGTTACTTCAGTTTCATAGACATTGCAGTAGAGCTAGTAAACATAAAGAAGGGTGACAAGCAAGGACTATCACAGGAGTTCAGTGTCACCCTAAAACATAGGAAGACTAATTAGATTAATTAGTGTAACACTTTCAGCTCAGAAAACCTTGGGCAGATAGGGGAAATAAAGAACAAAACAAATGCTAAAACCTTCACCTTACACACAACTACAATGGTCATTAGGAACTGGTAGTCGCTGTTTCTCAGAATAGAAGAATTATGGGGCACCAGTTTAAGGCATCAGCTTTACAACAGAAAGAACTACTTCTTCACAGAATGGAATTCAGTTTTGCATGGTAGGCAATGCCATAGGAGACTTTGGAGGCTGAAAAGTGTAACTGGGTTAAAAAAGCAATTACATAACTTAAAGGATGCTTCAAAAGGACTATTAAATATGATGGTCCAGATCCATCCTTTGGTTCAACAAAGGCTTAACCACCAATTGCCAGATGTAGAAGGTCATTTCTGGGGAAGAATTACCATATTCTTTCCCTAGTAGCCACTACTGACTACTGTCAGAGATGAAATTCTATATTAGATGGATCTTCCATTTAATCAAGACCAGCTGCTGTCAATGTACTCACCTGGCCAAAAACCGCTTTTTCTCCTGATAGTCTTTAGCATGACTACTGGTAAATAGACCATTTTGTCCTCGTTCTGTTATCTCCCACACTCAAAACCCGGAACTTCATAGGTAAGCTCTGCATTGTATTGGCGTCTATTCAGAGCTGACTGAACTCAAAAAGCAAGTAATCTAGATCTCAGATTCATTGTCCTCTTACAGTTGTATCACTCACTCACCCCATGATACAGATAATGGTGAGTATACATTCCAGTTGAAATATGTTTTCACTCTGTCCTCCAAACAGTTCAGTTCCCCAAAATCTTTGACATGCAGAGAGGCTGGAGAGTTGAATGTAGACAGATTCCTCCCTAATTTTGTATTACCATATGCTTGATTGTAGCTGTGAGAAAACATTAACCTGGCTACTTTACTGACTCTAC